CACATCTCACTTGAAATTATGAAATAATTTTGAAAATAATTATTCATGCCTGAAAAGCACAAAAGGTAAAACCAGGAAGTGTTGATTGAAGAAGAGCTAGAAAGATGTCCCCAGCATCCTGCGCCGTTCTGATACTCAGAAAACGGTCTTATGTGCTTTTTCAACATGACCATTTTCCAGTATTATAACAAATTACATGTGTCACTCATTTGTTTTCTGTGTGTGTCTCCCGGTAATAGATGGCTCTAGAGAACAGACTCGCTGCTGCATTTGGCTGCATTGACTGGCTTGGCTTCCTGGCTCTCATTTCCCAAAACTTCAGCCTCAACCAGGACAGGGTTCAGAAATTTGGTTATCAGATCAGTATTTTCAATTTTAAAGACATTTTTGGAAACTGAACAGATGCCAGCTCTTGCAACACACATGAACAGGGCAGGGCAGAAGAGCCTGACCACTGAAGGAAAGAAGAAGAAGAAGAAGAAGAAGGAAAAAAAAAAAAAAAACATTCAGAGAAGTCTGGGTCAAAGATCACCTAGCAGCAGCCAGCTGTTCTAGGAAGGGGCCACCCACGCCTGGTAGGAGGCTCAAGTTCACCTAAGTGGTGGAGTTCTACACTGCATTCTTTCACAGACATGGTGCAGCCTGCCCGGCAGGCCATGCCGGAAGGGCTAGGTCAACACTAGACATTTCCAACTTGGCAGACATCACAGCTTTCCTTCCCTTGGACTGGATTATGGAGATCCAGAAAGGCCACTCAAAAATAGTATTGACATTTTTTACTTATCCAAAAAAATCCTCATGTTCCAATATTCGGTTGTTAGGTTTGTGTGTGCCACCCTCTAATTGCTAACATTTAAGGTTGTTAAATGTAGTGCAGCACCTGGGTGGAATACGAACACCCACGTTTCATCTCGTGTTGAGTTCCTAGGTGAGCGTTCTCGGGTCTCTCTTCTTGTTGCCTGGTGCCACATAGTTAGGGGTGGCTACATAGAGGTATTCCCCCGGCCCTGAGCTATCTTTGCAGCCCTCTAGAGTTCAAAGCCAATTCCAAACTGAGAAGCCTGTGCAAAAAATGGCTAAAAACAAAGGAGATTGACCCAAGTTGTCTAATAATTATTTGGCAATAAAATTCAGACGATGCAAATTTGTAAATCTTGAACCACCATGGTCCTTGTTCTCCAGTGACCTTTGGGCCCCTGTGGCTCTTTCACCTTCCTTTAAGTCCCAGAACTGTTCCTGTTTCCACCCCCATCTTATTACTACAGCTGTGGAAGCAGCTCTGAGAAATGTTATCCACAGAGTAATAAATACAAGAACTTTAAAAAAAGACTTTTGTCTTTCTAGAACCTATAGCAGATACTTCTACATTTCCTGTTTATTAACAAGTGGCGAATGCTGGGTATTGCAGCTGGGGCACTGTGCCTGGGAGGCAAAGGCTGAACCTCTGAGTTGCCTCCTAGGCCCTCTTTTAACTTTGGCTTGAGGCAGGGTTCACTGAGCTGCTTCTGGCTGGGCTTGAACTCTCTCTGTAGCCTCAGCCTGGAATTTGTGGTCCTCCTTCCTGAGCTCCAGAGCAGCTGGAAGGACATGCTAGTTTTGTTTGGCACTAAGCTGTTTGAAGTAAGTCACCTTCTTAGGCTCTAAAGATGCTCTTATTTGGATTGTGGGATGAATAAAATCATAGCTGGTGAGGGCTCAAAGCACAGGTCAATGTGATGCCATTTTTTAGGAAACTGGATTATGTAATATTTTCAATTGTATTGCTATTTTTTAAATTAGGAATCTTTCCAAACACATTTAAAGGATTAAAAGTGAATTGTTGGCTATGATAAGCTATTTGGCAATTTTTTAATCTTGGATTTCCCCACATTTCTGTTTATTATACGGTAATAGAGATGACCTTATAAAATACATTAAGCTTAATAAAATGTAATTTGAATTCAAAATAACTTTTAAAAATTATGCTAAAATACTAAGTTCTAAAAGTAAGTAAAAGTGATACTTGTCCACAGATGACTCGAAGTTTTGGCAAGTGGCCTGAACGTCCACCCTTCCTTTCCACTGCTGTCAGGACATGAGATAGGATGTAGATGCCTGCCACAGCTCAGAAACACCCACAAGCAGCTGCCAAGTAAGAGCCTTGGTGAGGACCTTAACAGTCAAAGGAGCACCCCAAGGTTATTAAGTGCACAGAACACAAATCAGAATAACTAGATGTGTAACAAAAATTTATAAAAATGCGTAAAACTTTCTCAATTAAGAAAACTATTAAACACCAACAGAAAATTCTTGTGTGTTTGTAGATAATCATTCTAGTAACTGATAACAAAATAAAATTTCCTAATTCAAAAAGATGGTATATAAAACAAGAGTCAATACTTTAACTGGCCAGGAATAGGAGACATTTCATTTCCTTCAGTCTCATATCTGCAACCTTCCCATCTTGGGTTTATGAGTATTAGGAAAATATATGTGAACAAAAAATAAAATGCATATAACACACATTCACAGTACATCATTCTCTAAATTGTATCAGTTATCAACTAATTGCCCTCTCACAATTGCATCAGCCTGGATGCATAACATCACAAATCTATAAAATATGTAAGAGGGAGAATTTTTAAAAATAGGTCATTGCACTATGTTTAACCTTAGAATACCTCCTTCCTTCCTTCCTTCCTTCCTTCCTTCCTTCCTTCCTTCCTTCC